TGAAAATACTTTGAAATGAAAATGAAAATGAAATGAAATGAATAAATGAATTGAAAGAATGAAATATGAAATAAATTGAAGAAATATGAACTGAAATGGAAAATGAATTGATTAAATGAAAATGAAAATAAAACATGAAAATGAATTTGAAAGAAAATGAAAATGAAAATGAAAATTAAAATGACATTTGAAATGAAAAATGAAAATGAAACTGAAAATGAATTTGAAATGAAAAATGAAAATGCAAAATGAAAATGAAATGATTGAAATGAAATGAAAATGAAAATGAAATGGAAAATGAAAATAGAATTTGAAATGAACATGAAACGTAAATTTGAATGAAATGAATTTGCAAATAAAACATGAATTTGAATAAATAACCTTATCGTAGCCAGCCTCGGCGCACCATACTCGTGAGATAAAACTATAACACCCGCTACCAGCAACGCACGATCGCCTAAAAGCGAATCTGCTATACATTCATAACTAAATAGAAACATTTTTAGCAAATATACCAGTTAAAAATACAATGATTGATAAATCTTGAATAAACATTTCAGAAAATATAATGTGACAATGAGTTTTTTTTTCAGCACGTTTCTTTTTCTCTGTCCCAGCTAGAGATATTAATCTATGAACTCTAATTCTTACTTGATATAGGTACAAGGCATACAATTCATTAGTGACAATTTCTCATTATAAACATTATTATAGAATATACTATAATCTAACATGTATGCATACATACATACATAACAATACAGTACATGCATGCATGCATTGCCATGCCATGCATGCATCATGGCATGCATCGCATGCATGACATGCCATGGCATGACATACATACATACATACAACATAGCATACATACATACATACAGTACATAGACATTACATCACATACATACATACATACACTACATACTACATCATACATCACATATACCATACATACATACATACATACATACATACATAGCATACAGTACATACATAACATACATACATACAATACATACATACATACATACATACATTAGCATACATCCAGTACATACACACATTACATCAATCATTACATACATACAGGTACAACAACCATACATACTATCATACATACATACATATCATACATACATACATACATACAACAACATACATACATACATACATACATACATTACATACATACATACATACATACATAGCATACATACATACATACATACATACAAATACATACATACATACATACATACATACATACATACATACATACATACATACATACATACATACATACATACACCCATGAATTCATACATACAAAGTACATACATACTCATACATACATACATAGACATACCAACATACACATAACATACATACATACATACATACATAACATACATACATAATAGCTACATACATTACATACATACATACCATACATACAACAACATCATGTTATCAGGAGTAATTAAGATATTACTTATATTATCTTACTCCTGATGTTATCACCACCAGCTCTTATAATAACTTTTTTAGACTGGTTTCACTGTGTCATTTACAAAAGAATGTCTATAGTCATCATCGCATGACAATTTGGGTGACGGTTTTTGTCTGTATGACTCCATAAATATTATAACAGTTAAACTTTTACGGCGACATTTGTATTATTAGCGCATTATAGCGTTAAAATGCTTACAATTTTTAGTATTTCTTTATTAAAATGCACCCTGATATGGGTGAAAATGCTCCGGCTCCTGAGAAATATCAGGTTCAAATCAATAATCGCCTCATAACGGCGTTACAGAGTTTAAACATGAATTCAGCGCTCGCAATCATAAATTGGTAACAGATACGGATATGTTCGTTGTTCGTGAGGTTTAAAATTAGGATAGTTCGAATATATATGCACGTATAGGCCCTATGTGTGTGTGGGGGGGGGGCGTGCAGGCATGCGTGCGCGCGTCTGTGCCTATAATAGATTTCCCATAGAAAATGCTTCGTCGTTTCTTATACTATCCACCTACCTACCACGCGGTTTGTTGAACATTGCACTAAAGACGCGTTACTCTCGTGAAACTCTTGCGCCTTGGTTGTAGGAAACGAATGCGATGAACGTGGGTGCTGGGGATACAATGGTGTAAGGGCCTTATACTATGGCGCCAGGTGTATAATGGTCTGTAATATGTACACGCGATAACAATGAAATGGTTAAAAAATGAAAATTTTTCTTCCACTAGTATATTAAATGACCGATATAAAAAAAACTTAATTTAGTCTACATGAGCATGCTATATGCCAAAATGTTCTTTATTTAGTAGGCTAATACACCATGTTAACAAGACTGCAGTGGCGATAATTATTGACATATCGGTCATTTAATATGCAATTTTTCATTATTTTTAACCATTTCATTGTCTCAACCTATTTTATTACCACTTAAAGATAGCTACACTCAATGAATTGCCTCTGGACGATTAGTATATATATCTATGAACTATTTGAGCTATTTCTTGAATAAATTGGATGTGTATTATTGAAATTATAGCCAAAACTCTAAGAGTGTTATAACGCAATTCCCGTTAACACACCAGAAGGCGCTGTACGCCACAGGATAACGCTGTTCATTTGGCACTGCGCTCTTGGCAAAGTTTCACAAGGAATGTTGGATGCCTATAATCAAACCGAGCTCATGCGTCTTCAGAAACGGCATGCCGATGTTGCTTTAAATAGTACAGCAAAAGTACGCTCACGATAAGCTCACGCAGATTTCTAACCTGTGTATACGGGAAGGATGGGGTGTCAGAAAGATGACCAGTTCTAGGATACGGCATAGTGCTTACATTATCTCGCCTATAAGCCATTGAAAGAGAGAAACCTTCAACGGAATTCGTGATTAGTAACATAACAATAATATTATTCGTGGGTTTTATCATCGCTTTAACGATTCCTCCGCATATAGTGTCACTTTCGATTTCGCTGCAGTATGTGGAACTTGCGTCGAGCTTAACACGTCTTCCTCCTGGCGTCATAGTATAAGGGCTTTACAACATTGTATCCCAGGCACCTAAGTTCATCGCATTCGTTTCCTACGACCAAGGCGCAGGAGTTTCATGAGAGTAACCCTTTAGTGCCATGTTGAACAAACAGCTTAAATTATCAGCCCATAAACTTAGTGATACAAGCTATCGCTCGTCGCGTTGCTATTTACAGTTATAGCTCTCTAATTATACGATATGCGTGTGTCATTATGTTGGCTTTTATGATTATATATTTGACGTGGGAGCGATAAGCGTTCTAATCTGATTTCTGCCCATTAAACATAAGGTGGATAGTATAAGTATATCTATGGGAAATCTATTATAAGCACAGACGCGCGCACGCATGCCTGCACGCCCCCCCCCCCCCCCCCCCC